CGCCAAGGCGAGAGCCACAGTTTGAGAACCACCCGCCCTCAATCCGTGAAGCTCTTGCATTTGTTAACGAATGTGCGCGGCGTTGAGGCGAGATCCACATTTTGAAAACCACCCGCTCTCAATCCGTGAAGCTCTTGCAAATATTCCAAACAAATGTGCGCGGCGTTGAGGCGAGAGCCACATGTTGAAAACCACCCGCCGTCCACCGGTGAAACTGTTGCAAAGTTTGAAGCGTCAGAATCATAAATGGTGAGGAAGTCTCAGGCGAAACGCCCGGCCCGCCCTACAAACAGGCTTTGGGTGCGAGAGGGAAAAGTTATTTACCAGGAAAAGAAATAGAGGAGGAGAAGGAGGAGGAGGAGAAGGAGGAGGAGGAAGAGGAGGAGGAGGAAGAGAAGGAGGATGAGGAGCAGGGAGAGGAGGTGGAGGAGGCAGAGGAGGAGGAGGAGGAAGAGGAGGAGGAAGAGAAGGAGGATGAGGAGCAGGGAGAGGAGGAGGAGGGAGAGGAGGAGGAGGAGGAGGAGGATTATGTTTTGGATCATATCGTTCCAGACGGTCCCCCATAGTTGCCCGTGGGGCCGGGCGACTCCGGCGCGGGGAACCATCCGCCCCTTGGGCCTTCGGGTGCCGCGCCATGGGGAGCCGGGGACGCCGCTGCCCCAGGGGGCCGGGAGAGCACAGCGTCCCCCATCGCCGGGGGGGGGTAGTGCCGCGTCCGACCCCCCCCGCGGCCCTGCGCGGCCGCTCGGGCGCCGCGGGGCGCCCCCCCCCCCCCCGGGTCCGCCCTCCCCGCGGGCCCGACCGGCCAGCTCTGCCCCCCCCCTGGCCCCGGGCAGCCGAGGAAACCCGAAGTGGAACGCCGCACGTCACGGCGCGGCGGCGAAGCGTGGCGCCGCAGCGGGAGGGGGAGGGGGCGCACCTCAGCGCGAAGAGTCACGCGGGGTCGGACACACCGCGCGGCACATCCGCTCCCGGTTCGCCCCCCAGCCCTCCCCGGTAGCGGCGCACTGGGAGCGTCCCAGGCTGGGACATCGGCGGCGGGCGCGCCGGGCCATGGGACTGGCGGGGAGCGAGAGGCGGACGGGGGAGGCGGGCGGGTGTGAGCGGAGCAGTGGAGCCCCTCGGCCGGTCCGCGTAGACCACGGGTGCCGCCCGGTGCTCCGGCGCCGGGGGTTGCAGGCGGCCGCGTCCTGAAACAATGCCCCGCGCTCGCGGGCGGGGAGGAGCATGAGGAGGAGGAGGAGGAGGAGGAGGAGGAGGAGGAGGAAGAGGAGGAGGAGGAGGAGTAGGAGGAGGAGGAGGAGGAGAAGGATGAGGAGAAGGAGGAAGAGGAGGAGGAATGGGAGGAGGAAGAGGAGGAGGAGGAGGAGGAGGAGGAGAAGGAGAAGGAGAAGGAGGACGAGGAGGAGGAGGAGGAGGAGGATTAATAACAATAGTAATAATAATGGTAATATAAGAGTAAGAATAATCATAATACAAATACTAAGAGCAATAGTACGATTCATACTAGTAATACTACTATTATTCATACTTATACGCATAATCTGAATAAGAATCATAGTAATAATACACAGAAATGCTATTAATAGTAATGACCACAATACTACTAATAATAATAATGATAATAATGTTATTATTATTCATAATCATAATCCTAATCATAATACTAATAATAATAATACTAATAATCGTAATAATAATAATACTAATAATAATAGTAATAACAATAATAATAATAATAATAATAATAATAATAGTAATAATAATAGTAATAATACTAATACGAATAACAAGAATGATAACAATCATAATAATATGAGGGGGAAAAAGGAGAGGAGGAGGACGAGGATGAGGATGAGGATGAGGATGAGGATGAGGATGAGGATGAGGATGAGGATGAGGATGAGGATGAGGATGATGATGATGATGATGATGATGATGATGATGATGATGATGATGATGATGATGATGATGATGATGATGATGAGGAGGAGGAGGAGGAGGAGGAGGAGGAGGAGGAGGAGGCGGAGGAGGGGGAGCTGCGCCGCTGCCGGCTGCGCGGCCGAGGGGCTGCCGCGCGGGTGTCGCCAGGCGCGTCTCGTCCGACAGCGCTTCGCCGCCTCCCGAGGCGGAGGAGGGCTCGCTCCGTCGTTCCGTCGTGCCCTTGCCCCCCTATCGCTGTGGGGGAAGCGGGTCCCGAGGGAAACGGGTTCTGAGGTTTCTCGTCGTTTCTGGGCTCTCGGCTCCCTCCACGGGCCTCGGGACTGTCAGAAAACGGCCCAGGATGGAGATGAGCGTGTACTCCGACAAGTTCACTTGCATGGACGAGGGCGGGGGGGTCGAACCCGAAGCAAGCCGCAAACGGCGTGCACGTGCGGAAATCACGCAAGTCGAAAGGCTCTTGCACGCTAGTATTCGCTTGAGGAGGGGCGGGGGGGGGGGGGAGGGGGGCAAACGCCATGCAAGCAAGCTTGCCTCGATCTCGTCCTGGGGGGAGGTCACGTGGTCCAGGACCCGTTGTCCTCACGACCCATTTCCCCCATGCCAGCCCTCTCGCGCCCCCTCGTCGGGTATGCGGTCGGGAACCTTTGGCCAGCGTGTCGCGCCCCCGGTGGTGGCCCACCGCGCTTCGGAGCGACACGCCATCAGCTTGCAAGGCATAGCGTGTCGCTGGGACCGCCGCGGCGACACGCTAAGCAGAAGTTCCTGACCGTGTACCGCCGCTTCCGGCGCCCGTGCCTGGCAGGCCTTGCGTGTTCACCCTCCCTGCCTGGCGAGGGCGGGGGTGGGGGGGAGGAGGCGCCAGTCCCAGGAGGCCGAAGAAGCGACGAGGGAGGAAGAAGCAGTCGAGGATGGTGCGCCCGTTGCGGAAGAGGAGAAGCGGAGGAGGGAGGACGGAGCAGGAGGCTGGGGAAGGGAAGAGGGAATATGACAGTGTTTCTGGTTCACCCTTCCTGCCTGGCGAGGTCTAGGCTGGGGTGGGTGGGTGAGGCACGAGTCCGAGGAGGCGGGTACGTACGTAGGACGAGCACGTACGTAGGAGCAGGAGTTGTTCCACCATGGCCCCCTACAGTTGCGGACCAGAGTGGGGGGGGGCGGAGGGGCGTTGGCAGTCTTCGAGGCTCGAAAGCAGATGTGAAGAAGCCAGCCGCAGGCGCCGATTCTTTTCACAACGAGCCCGCCGCAGGCAGCGATGTCGCAGGCGCGCTTTTTTCAGATTCCCCAAACAGTGCTTGCATTTAGGGTTTTTGATTTATTTTCTAAGGAACTGGGCTTGCCCGTCGGTCTGGTGGCTATGTGGTCGCCGTCGTCGCCTCGTCGCCGCCCGTCTTCTGGGCCTGCCCGTCGGTCTTTCGGATATGGGGTCGCCGTCGCCGCCCCCGTTGATCTGGGCATGCCCGTCGGTCTGGCGGCTATGTGGTCGCCGTCGCCGCCCCGTCGCCGCTTGGGCCTGCGCTACTTTGCATTGTTCGTCGTTCCTTTACATTGCATTCAATTGGTTTGCATGACTTTCTTTGCGTTGCTCTGCGCTGGTTTACATTGAGTTGCATTGCGTTGCCTCGCGTTGGTTTGCGATGCGCTGCTTGGCATTACTTTGCACTGCTTCTCCATGCTTTGCATCGCTTTGGATTGCCTGGCATTGCTTGGCATTGCTTGGCATGTCGTTGCTTTGATTAGCATTGTTTTACATTGCTTGGCATTGCTGGGCATTGCGTTGCATGCCTTTGTATTGGTTTGCCTTGCTGTGGCTTGCTTTGCTTTGCGTCATAGTATTACAATCCCACTGCTTTGCAATCGCACTGCGCTTCTCTGCTCTGCATTGATATGCATTGCGTTGCATTGCTTCTCACTGCTTGGTTGGCATCGCGTTGCATTGATTTAGTGCTCGTCATTGCATTACATTGATTTGCGTTGCTTTACTTTGATTTGCATTGGTATACATTTACTTGCACTGATTTGCGTTGCTTTGCATTACGTTTCCTTGCATGTATGTGCGTTGCATTGTTGTGATACGTTGGGCGTTCATTCTAATTGCTCGCATTGCTTGACATTGCCGAGTATTGCTTTGCATCGCGTTTCGCCGCATCGAATGCACCACATGGATTGTACCACCTGGGTTGCACCACGTTGATGGCGCTTTCTAGATTGCACCGCGCAGATTACAAGGAGTCATTGTTTGGGGTCCACGCTGGCCAACATAGCTGTTGAACGCAAGCCGTGGGTGGGTCGTGAATGGGTCGTTGGCGGGGGCAAATCGCGGCAGCGAGAAGAAGAGCACGAATCCGCACCGCGGACCCACACTTGAGCGACGGACCCAGGATCAGTGCAAGACCGCTCGACCTCTGCCTTTTCCTTTGAGTGCTCGTCGTACGATACGCCGTACCTTTCGGACAGGTTTCTTCATGAACCTCCGCCATCGACGCTTGTGTTTTTGGTATCCTAAAAAGAACCATTGCGCTTGTTGCTCTTCTGTAAGGTATGTAGGCATATCCGAGTAGTCAAGGGCTGTGGCTTCATCGTCCGAAGACGCATCGGCATCAGTACCGGAGTCGACTCCCTCACTCTGATGTGTGGTTGTGTGTTTATATCGGTGTGTAGCTGACCCGATTGACCTCAAGCCTTGGGGCCTTGTCTACGGCAGTGACAGCGGGCCGGGCTGGCCAACTGTTCTGCCGTCTCTCGCGGGCATTCGTGCTCCTTCGCCATCTCCTCTTCCTCCTCTTCCTCCTCCTCCTCCTCCTCCTCCTCCTTCCATCTTCCTCCTCCTGCCTCCTCCTCCTCGCCCTGGAGATTGGACAGGGATCCGCTAGCCACAGACCCCATAAGACTCCTCCTCATCTTCGTCTTCTCGTCCGCGTTCTGCCCCTCTTCCTGCTCCTCCTCCTCCTCCTCCTTCTCGTCTCCACCGCCCTCATCTCTCCTCCCTCCTGCTTCGTCCCTCCTGCTCCTCCTGCTCCTCCCCCCTCCCCTCGCCGCTCCGTCGTGGCCTCCGCTGCCAGGTCGCGGACCCGTCGCGTGCGAGGGCCGGATCGATCGGTGCCCGGGGGGGCCAGAGCCGTCATCGCGGTCGCCGCCGTCGCCATCGCCGTCGTCGCTGCCGCCGCCGTCGTCGTCCTCGTCGCCCTCACCTCCGTCGTTGCCGTCCTCGTCGCCGTCGCCGTCGTCGTCGCCGCTGTCGTCGTCGTCCTCGTCGCCGTTGCCATTGTCGCCGCCATCGTCGCCGTTACCGTCGTCGTTGCCGCCGCCGTCGTCGTCGTCTTGTCGCCGTCGTCGTCGCCGTCGTCGTCCTCGTCGCCGTAGCCATCGTCGTCGCCGTCGTCGTCGTCGCCGCCGCCGCCGTCGTCGTCCGATCGTCCCCGTCGCATCCGTTGCAGTCGTCGTCGCCGTCGTCGCCGTCGGCGGGGGGAGGAGGGAGGCGGCGGAGGGGGGAGGGAGAGGAGGATGAGGTGAAGGACTGGAGCGAAGGGTCGGTGGAGTGGAAGGGGCGGAAGAGGGGACGGGAGAGCAGCAGCAGCCGCAGCAGCAGCAGCAGCAGCAGCAGCAGCAGCAGCAGCAGCGGCAGCAAATCGCGAGGGAGGCGCGATGGCGTTCCTCCCCAGGATCCAGGGGGTGGGGAGGGACGTGAAAAGGAGGAGGATGAGGAGAAGGAGGATGAGGAGCAAAAGAAGAAGACGAAGAAGGAAAGGAATAATCATGATAGTTTAGGACTAGGAGGAGGGATCTGTTGAGGGGGGAGTAGGAGAGGGAGGAGGCGGAGGGGGAGGAGGAGGAGGAGGAGGAGGAGGAGGAGGAGGAGGAGGAGGAGGAGGAGGAAGACGATGCGGAGGAGGAGGAGGAGGAGGAGGAGGTGGAGGCCGACGGTTGTGCCGAGGTCGATGCCGGAGGGACAGAATGACGACTAGTATGAGGCGGGGGAAGACGGATTAGATGAGGACCATCAGCGGCAGCAGGAGGGAGAGCGAGGCGGAGCAGGATGAGGAGGTACAGAGGAGTAGGGGATGGCCTGGGAGGAGGAGAATTGAGGCGAGGGCGGCAAGGCGGCGGAGGGCGAGGAGGTGGAGTCGGATGAGAAGGGCCAGCGGCAAGCGGAAGCGCACGTAATTGGGAGAGCCGAGGCTGATAACCACAGGCGCTGGCAGCGCCCGCGGCGGCGGCACCTCTTCCTCACCTCCCGCCCCTTCTCCCCTCCTCCGTCCCTGGACGCGATCAGGTCGATGGGCCAGGCCGCGAGGAGACCCCACCAGGAGTTGGAGGATGAGGGGTCCTTCGATTCCGATGGTTTCCGGTCAAGCAAAATCCAGATTTTAGGTCGCCCCACAACACTTTTCCTCCGCCCCTCCGCCGTCCTCTGGCTGCGACGGCTGCGCGCTCGTCAGCTTGGGGGCCAAGGGCCTGCGCCCCCGACGGGCCTTCTCGGCGGCGGGGCCACGCCTGCCCGCAGCCACCGCCACGGGCACTGTTTCGCGCCAGCCTGCGAGTTCCATGCATGTTGCCCACCTGGCGCCATCGAGCGAGGCGACTGGAGCCCTCCGTCCTCTTCGCAAGCCTCCTCCTCCCCAAGCTCCCGCTGGAGAGGAGGGCGAGGGGCGCGGGGGAAGGGAGAGACGTGGGGGGGGAGCGTGAGCTTTCGACCTGGAGAGGGGATGCGTCCTCCTCCTCCTCCTCCTCCTCCTCCTCATTCTCCTCCTCCTCCTCCTCCTTCTCCTCCTCCTCCATTCCTTCTCCTTGTGAATAACTTCTCCCTGTCGCACCCCGAGGCCAGTTTTTGGGGCGGGCCGGGCGTGTCGCTTGAGACTTCCTCACCACTTACGACTCTGAAGCTTCAAACGTGTTAACAGTTTCACATATGGAGGGCGGGTGTTTTTCAAACTGTTGTTCTCGACTTAGCGCAGCGCGCATTCGGTTTCAAATTTTGCAGGAGCTTTCACGGATTGAGGGCGGGTCATTTTCAAAATGTGGTTCTCGCTTCAGCGCAGCGCACATTCGTTTTCAAAATTAGAGCTTCATTGATTGAGGGTGGGTGGTTCTCAACATGAGGCTCTCGCTTTGGCGCCGCGCACATTCGTTTCCAAAATTAGAGCTTCATTGATTGAGGGTGGGTGGTTTCCAACATGTGGCTCTCGCCTTGGCGCCGCGCACATTCGTTTTCAAAATGTGCACAAGTTTCACGGATTGAGGGCGGGTGGTTTTCAAAATGTGGTTCCCGCCGTAGCGCCGCGCTCATTCGTTGTCAAAATTTGCAAGGGCTTCACGGATTAAGGGCGGGCGGTTTTCAAAATGCGACACTCGCCTTAGCACCGCGTTCACTCTTTTTCAAGATTTGCATATCGTCGTCGTCGTCGTCATCGTCGCCATCATCGTCCGATCGCCGTCGTCGTCGTTATCGCCCGATCATCGCCGTCGTCGTCGTCGACCGAGCGCTCCCCCGCCGCGGCAGAGCGGGCGCTGCCAGGCTCGGCCACGAGCGCCCTCGACCGCCAGCGGGAGGTGTGGGTGCACGTGTACGACATGGGCCCCGTGACCGGACGCCGCCGCCTCGGCGTGACCGACCGCGGCCGCCGCCGCCGCACCGCCGACTTTCGGCCGCGGCCGCCGCGCCGCCGCCGCCGCCGCATCCGCCGCGCCGCCGCCGCCGCACGCCGTTGGGCGTGGCTCCTTCGCGGCTGTCCACCAGGATGTCGAAGAAGCAGGGGCGGGGACGACATCGGACCAGGATCGCCTGGTCTCGTCGGTCTTCGGGCGTCCTCGTGGGTCCTCGGCGCTTCTGCAGCTTCCGGGTGCTCTCTAGCAGCTGCGCCTCGCCGATGGCTTTCCCGGGGCGCCCGGATCGCCCCGAACGGCCGCCGGAGGCCCGAGTTTTGGCCCGGGAGCCACGACACGTTTGCGTCGCGAAGCAAATCGTAAGTCGGGCCTGTCCCTCTACAGGAGGAATCTTCAAAAATAGTAAAAAATAGTCTGGGGACTATTTTTTGAGTCTTTGTTAACCATTTTGGAGCATTTGCGGGGTACTTTTTATTTTTCCTCGAAAATCCCCCTGTAGGGGGACACGCCCGACTTAAAGCAAATCACGACGCGAGGCTTTTGGCGGGCCCGCGCTGGGCCCCGAGGCCTCGGGGTGCGCAGCGGGCCCCTGCGGAAGGGGCTTGGGCCTCCGGGGGCCCGCATGGAAAACGTCCGGACGTCGCATGTCTGGCACGATTGGGTTTTTCTTTCTCCTCTTCCTCCTCCTCCTCCTCCTCCTCCTCGTCCTTTTTGTTCCTCCTTCCTCTTCATCCTTCTCCTTAGTTTTCCTCTTCGTCCTCCCCCTCTCTGGCTCCAGGTCTGCCTGTTCCGTCGCATGCTGGCTGCGGCTGCCTGCCCCATGCTGCCGTCACCGGAGCGGTCTGCCTCCCTGGGCGCCTGACAGGAGGGGTCTGGGGGCTTCGGGCTCGAGGGGTCCCTGAACGCGCTGGCCGGGGGCGGTGGGGGCGGAGGGGCAGAGGAGAAGGGCCCGACCTCTACCATTCCACTTCCTCCATGGTGAGCCTCGGGCTGCAGGAGAGGACGGATCGGGCCCCTACTCTTCCCTCCCCCTTTGCTTCGGTACGCCAGAGACTGGGCCTCCTGGATGTCCAGGGGGCTCCCGTGTGCAGCGCCCGCGGCGCGCTTAGGTGGGTGTGCGGGGCGCAGGCGAGGGTTGTGGTGCATGCGGGGTCCGGCTGCATTTGGCAGCCGAGGAGGAGGGCGGTGGGAGCGGGAGGAGGTGCAGCGGGATGAAAGCATGATGCATATATAGTAGCATTGCGTTTGCGCACACGTCTTAAGTTCTGTATCTATCATGTGCATACATATATGTATATGTATGCATGCATGTCCTGAAGGGCAACTTGTGAAGTAGTAGAGCTCCAACGCTTGAACACGTGGTAGCTCCTAGGAACGCTGCGTTGGTGGTTCAGGTTCTCTGCAGCAGAACGAACACTGCTGCTGATTGGTGGGAACAGCCTGCAGCACGAGCAGCAGCAAGCTGGGACGGAGAGCCTCCCCCGACCGCCCAGTGGAGCGAGGGGACCCGTGTGCGCTGCGCTGGCCCGGGGCGGACAGACCCCAGCGTGCTGCCCGCCGCACTCACCGCCCCCCGATGTGGGCTGGCGTCAGCCTCACACGGCAGGAGCAGCCGAGCTCCAGCTGCCGAGACTGGCCTCCCCAGGCCGCGAGCCGACAAGAGGAGGCGGCCCACGGGCCACACCGCCCAGCCCGTCCCTTCCGCGGCGCAAACCCACAAGGGCTGCGACTGAGCCTCTCCCCCATGGACTAACCCTGACGATTGGAACGACACGCGCCCATACCCACAGGGGGGACGGGTAGAGCTACGGGTGCGTGCCAGATGTCGGTCCCTGCTCGCGCGGGAGCCTCCCTTGGGGCCCGACAGCCCGCACCTATACCCAGAGCCAGCCCTCTTCCCTCCGACCTCTCTGGAAGTATGGACGTGTGCTGTTCGCTCATGAAACCCAGGGCGGCGAACGGGCGGTTTCCCGCTCGTTTACCTGAGAAGGGGACCCGGTGGCACGTGGCACCGCGTGCCACGGGAGGAGAAGTACGAGGACGGGGGGCGGCGGGAGCAGGTGCAAGCGGAGGACAGGCGAGCAGGGAGGTGCCCAGGCGGTTCCGTAGGCGTTTCGGCTCATGGTGTTGAGCGCAGGGTGCTCGAAACTTACTGAACCATCACGTCGATGTTCATAGTGTATCTCCGGCCGCGATGCAGTTCCATTGCTCTGGCGTTTATAGTTTCGGCTTCAGGTGTGCGGCTAGGCGGGCGCCGCGGCGAAGCGCGCGCCGCGGTGTGCTTCGCGGGGCAGTTCAGGAGTTTCTTGAAGACGGCTCAGAGCGCAGCGGATAATCTGCTCTCTGCATTTTCTCACCCTGACGTGTTCCTTTACCTGAATCTTCAGGATTCGGGCAAGGGTGGGAACGCAAATCACGCGAACGACATAGGCGAGATCCTCGAGATCGTGCGACCGGTTGCGCATCAGTACTACAATCAGAGTAGCTTTGATGCCGTGGGGTCCACTCTGCGAGAAGGGTCTTCTTGTTTCAAGGCAAGAGGGACTGATGAGTGTTGCCATTTCAGCTGGCATGGCACGCAGATGTGGGGCATACAACAATGTTGGGACAGCGTGAAGGACCATGAACTTGCGAACAACTTCAGATACGAGTACTTCGTCCGCGCGCGACCAGACACGAATTTCCCCCCACGCCTGCAGCAAGCCATCCAGACGGTCACGAAGTCTCAGCCTCACGGTGGCGGAAAACACGCCTGGCTGCCCAGCTTCAGCGACACTTTCACGCTTATGACCCGAGACGCTGCCGACGCGTACGGAGATACCTTCCAGAACACCTTCCTCGGGGACTCGTGCACGCGCCTCCCTCCCGAGAGCCGGTGCGCGCCGCTGATGTCGTACCTCCCCTCAGAGAGCCGTGCCATCGGGATGTCGACGAACTGCCTGTTTGTCCGCAACATGCTGGCCGGCGGGGTGCGGCTGCACTTTGACGCCGGATTCGCTGCCCGCCCCATCGTACGGCCGTAGGGCACAGGGGGAAGGCCCGCAGTGTATACCACAGGATGCTGCAAGGGACGAGGGCCCATGCTGCGCTGTGTCGAAAACCTGGTCGACCTTGCCCGTGCGATGAGCGATCAGTGTTGAAGAGCTCGGCCGCATGCCGGTCATTCGATTGCATCGATTTGGCCCGTTCTGTCCCTGTGCGTCCTTGTGAGCAGCATTCAGTGTTTTCTTGCGGCGGAGCCCGACTGCATGGTTCACCTCCTCGTATTGTCCTGTCCTCATTTCCTCTTCCGCCTCCATCTTTTTATGTGCCACCTTGTCTTACTCTCTCTCTCTCTACATCCTCATCCTCCTCTTTCCGTCCCCTCCTTCTTTACTTCCCTCTCATATACCATTTCCTCTCCCTTCTCCTCCTCATCCTCCTCCCCCTCCTCCTCCTCCTCCTTTTCCTCCTCCTCCTCCTCCTCCTCTTTATCTCTCCTGCTATTTCCAATTCCGGTTCCTTCTCCAGGTGGCACTCGTTCTCCCTCTCTCTCACTGTCCATTCCCACCGCCTCCCTCCTACACTCTGCCTTCGCAGCCGTCGCGACTGCGCGCCGCCCGCGCGACCCCGGGAGAAAATGCGAAGCGGAAGGAAAAGACAACAGATAGCTGGTGGAGCCGCAGGCTGAGACGCGGGCCCCATGCCAGGATCGGAGCCCTAATTAGGGCTCTGCCTGGCCTCCCCCCCCCCTTCCCCCCCCCCCCGCGTGCACAAGACGCGTGCGCCCGCCGAGGGGTTCAGCCAGGCGCGCGAGGGGGGTAGGGGGAGAGAGGGGGGGAAGGCTTAAGTTGAGCATGTCCCTCTACAGGGAGAACATTCAGAAATGGTCAAAACAATTATAGGGGGGACGATTGTTTGAACATCTGCGGGTCATGTTTGAGCATGTTTGGACTATGTTCAATTTGTCCTTCAAAATCCACTGTTAGGAGGACATGCCCGACCTAAGGGAAGGCTTTTTGCGCTGGCCAGCCTCGTTCCAGAAGCGTCAGCATGGCCCTCCCAGGCCCTTGCGGCCTCACCGCGCATCCTTACACCTTGTGCGGCCTGACCGTGCAGCCAGAGGTGCCCCCCGGCAAGTCTGGACCAGGCCGCCGAGAGCCAGGGGAGGGGGACGCCGAGAGGCCGCCAGAGCCCTCAGCGAGCGGCAGAGTGCCAGTCGGCCGCGCGCGGAGAGGGGGGCAGGGAGGGGGGAAGGCCTCTCAGAAGCACCCCCGCTTCTTAGAAGGCGCGGGCCTCGTCGGTAGATGTGGGGCCCGCGCCTTCTGAGAAGCAGCCTCCTTCCAGCGTCTAAGAAGCCCCCCCCCCCCCCGCCCTGCCCCTACCCCCTGGCGCGCGCCGCCACGGAGGGGCAGAGCGTCAGGGGCAACGTGAGGATTAGGAAGTGCAGGATTCGCGAAGGTTCAGTCGGGCACGTCCCTCTACTAGAGGAGGAAAATTCAAAAAGTAATCCAGAAATAGTATGGGGATGATTTTTCGTCTAAATCGTTTTTTGAATAGTAGTATTTTGATTATCGTCCAAATGGGTTTAAAACGTTTAAATGGGTTCATAATAGTTTTTCGATTTTTCGTCCATATATATATATATACACAGTTTTTTGAATATTTATTTTCCGTCCAAAATCCGCCTGTAGGGGGACATGCCCGACCTAACGCTAAGGACTGGCTCTCTCCCCCACACGGCCGAAAACTTGCCGAAGCCCTCCGAAAACCCTGCCCGCAGGCCTCCAGGAGGTGTTCTGGAGGCTTGCGGCAGGGTTTTCGGGGGAGGGGCCTGTTTGGGAGGGAAGCCAGTCCCCAGCGAACCCTGGGCCTTCGAACTTTCGGTGGGCTCAGGGAGGAACGCATCGACCCCCAACCGCCCGTTCTTCGCCGGCGGGGGGCCCCTCTGCCTGCCCCCAGCCCCCAGGAACCGGCGGACGCGCTATCGGGAGCGACCTGTCGGCGCTGCACCGCCGGTCCCCACCTGACGCCCCCCCTCGGAGGAATTTCGTTGCTCGAGACCTCACTCGTGGGTGGCTTCTGGGCGTCGGGTGGGGCTAGGACAGGGGTAAGTAATTCCAGAGCGTCCCGGATCGCCATCAGAGCGTTCTGGAACGCTTAGAGAAGGCCGCAGCGCCCGATATAGGGGGGGGCGCCTGAGACCGCCAGCAGACCCTCAACAGGGCTTCAAGAATCCCTAGGACTTTTTTTTTTTCTCCCCAACGCCCCGAGCGGATCCCGCCACGAGGCACGACAGGCCCCCACGAGCCTCGCGAACCCCCAGGAGCCCCAGGAGAACGCACAGCCGACGCCGCCCCCGCGCGGCCCGGCCTCAAGGCGCAAGCACCTTGCACCTCAGCAACTTCTCGAAGCCGCCGACCCCGCGCCCCCAGTCCAGCGACGCCGTCCCGTCCTGGTGGCCCTGCAGCCTGTGCTGAAACCGAGGCCCAGCACCCTCGCTGCACTGCACGCCCGCGAAGCACCGGCCCGCCTGCCTCACCCGCATGCGGCCCTCGCAGCAATGAGCTCGGCCATCAGCGCGTCGTATTCCGCCTGGAGTGCCTGCCATCGAGCCTGCGAAAGCCTGCATCCCCTCCACCATCGCGCGATGAGCGTGGCTGCATCCTCCTGCTCCTGGCCCAATGGCTCGCCCCATACCCCGAAAAGGTGGCCCTCTCCAGGGTCAGGCGGGAGCGCCCTCGGGACCCAGACCATGTCCGTCAAGGCGCTCCCCTCTCTCTCCTTGCCCTCCTCCTTGGCCACGTCCTCGTTCGCCAACCTCGCACCCAGCGACGCGTGGCCCGCCTCCTCGCGCATCGGCTGCTCGGTGGACGGGCCCCCAAGCGGCCCAAGCTCCTCCAGCAGCCCGTCGAAGAAGACGTCGAGGTCGTCGAGCTCCGTGTCCAAGGCCGCGCCCGCCGTGTGGCGAGAGCTAGCCGTCGTGCTCTCCTGCCCAGCCGAGCTACCTCCCCCGCCGCGTACCGTTGCGGGGTTGCTCTCGCGAGGGCTCGCCGTCACCTCCGCCTCCTGGCGCTCCTCCTTGGCGGCCTCCTCCTCCACGACCTTCGCCTCCAACCCCGAGGAGTGCTCCCAGTCGCACTCGCCCACGTCGGAGGACAGGCCGCTGCTGAGTGGCGCCGCCGTCGCAGCGACCGAGCCCTCGCCCTCGGCGTGCTCCGCCGCGTGCGCCTGCCACTCCTTGATGAGGCGCAGCAGGTCCTCCACCTTGTCCCCCTCCTCGTCGTTCGGGTGCCTGAGCAGTGCGCTGACCGCGTCTAGCTCCCTGCACCGCCGCACGACCACTGGAGGAAAACGGCGCCCGCGCTGGCGGGCCTGCTGGAGGCCAGCCGCGAGCGTGCGCCCACCCACAAGCGCCACCATCTCGGCCGCGGCGCCCAGCAGCTGCTGCGCTCGCTCTCCGAGCGCAGAGCGCACCACAGAGAACTGCCCCTGCGCCACAGCCTCGGTCGGCGCCTGCTGCTCCTGCCTGGCCGCTCCGCTCGTCGCAGCCTGCAGGCGCGCCATGAGCTCGGCGGACACGCGGCCCCCGCCGCGCGCGCACCCGTCCGAGGGCCGACCCGCGCGGGACGGCACGCCTCTTGAGCCAAAATGGCTTGAGCCAAAATGGCTACGGTTCAAGAATCCCTAGGACCTCTGGAGGCCCTCAAGAGGCCCAAAGGAACCCCAATAGGCTCCCAAGGCGCCCCACGGTGACACGAAACTGCGTCCAAAGAGGTTTCCGAGAGGCCTCTCAAGACCCTGTTGGAGCGTATTGGGGGGCTGTTGGGTCGTATTGAGGTAACCATGGGCGCCTTGGGGCGATCTTTGGACGAATCGGCGCGCTCTTTTGGACCGTCTGTGGGGCCTCTTGGGCCGTCTCGTGCCCCCCCTGGCCCCTGGAAACGTCGCGCGACAGCGCCGAAGAACGCGGGGTAGCGCCCGGCACTCGGGGCTGCGTGCTCCCAAAGGGTAGCACAAAATTTCCATGCAGTGGATCCCGAGGGACCCGATGGCACTCCACGTCGTGCAGCGGGGCGCGGTGGCTTGTATGGTCTTGTCTACGGACTACCAGACTACCCCCATGCTGAGGCCAGACTGTACGGCCCCCTTCCGCGTATAGTCTGCACAGCCGCCCAGCCTCGTGGTGAGCTCGTCTCGTCCCAGCCCGTCCCACGATGCAGTCCCTCTCTTCTTTGTCCAGTTCTAGTCTGCGAGGCATGCGCTGTGAGATCAGAGTTGAACTTCCAATGCGCCCGTGCCAAGTCATACCATGCGGGCCATTCGCGCGCGGCCCAGGCAGGCACATGTTTTTTCAACGGCAGTTGGTGTTCAAGCAGTCCAAGTATAGTGTTTCAAAAAGCACATTGCCAATTGAATCAGCAAGCAGATTAACTTCCGCGCGCACCCGCTTGCAAACATCAACCAGGAACCAGATGCGGCTTTTCATTCTGCTGACTCAGGCCATGTGGGGACAACACGCGCGCGCATATCGAAATTATCGAGCCATCATCGCGTGCTCGCCAAGTCTGTTAAATAGTACAAGCGAGCCACACTCGCGCGTCCCCGCGCACGCATGCAGAAATCACAGCAACACCATTGTTCTTCCAATCATTTTATGATAGAGTAGCTCAACAACAAACACTTGTTGTTCACTGTCAGACATGTCAGAGGATCTGCGCGCACGCTTCCTCGTCATCCTCATCAGCACCATCGTCATCGTAAGCATCACTATGTATGCAGCACCAGTTTGTTGTCGTCGTCACCGCCACCGTCGTCATCGTCATCGTCGTTGTCGTCGCTCTCGTCATCAGCGCCACCATTACCACCATCACCAGCATAACCATCGACATCATCAACATCATCATCACCATCACCATCACCATCACCATCACCATCATCATCATCATCATCATCATCATCATCATCATCAGCATCATCATCATCATCATCATCATCATCATCATCATCATCATCATCACTGACTGCCCGTTAGAGCCATGGATTTGCACTGGAAGCGTCCTTGTCGCCAGTTGGGTGTTGACACGTTTTGCAAACAAATTGCAGGTGGGTGGGTGTGATGTTCGTTCGAGCATTGAAGTTGGCGGTTGTAATGCTTTCCGAACTAGTTGCACCACGTAGGTTACACAGCACAGCTTGCACCCCATGTATTGCACCAGTTAGGTGACATCACACCACAGTCATGCTTCCTCCCCCGGCCAGCTTTCGAGGTGCGGAGTGTGCAGCGAAGAACCATGGGGCTGGGTGATGTGGATGAGCAGATGAGAGGGAGGGAAGAGGGGAGATATGGGGACAGGGTGAGGAGACGGAGCAGAGAAGGAGGATGATGATGAGGAGGGTTGGGTGATGGCTGAAGAGGGGAAACAGCATGATCGGGAAGGGCAGGTCAAGTCGAGATGTACGAAGGACGAGGGGGGCAGGGAGACGGCCCAAGACTGGATTGAGGAGGGTGGCGGGGATGAAACGAGAGTGAGAGAGAGAGAGAAGGTGAGGATAGAGTGTAGAAGGGGAACAACGCGTGTCTGCCAAGGCCTCAACCAGTTTGTTCTGCGGGGCGCCAATCTGGGCGCGTTCCACGTGGGCGTTGAAGTGCTCGGAGAGGAGTGGTCGTTCCAGGCGCAAGGGTGAACTAAGGAAGACGACGAAGGTGGGGGGAACACGATGAGAAGGGACGGGAGGCCGGCGCAAGGGGCCTGCCTTGTGAACGCCCCCGATGGCACCAGCCCGGCACGAGCTCCCCAGACGAATTTGCCCAACGCACTGGGTGAGTTATGCTGGAGCTTTGGCGGGGCAGGACGACGGGCCGCGTAGCAACGGGGGGTGATTTACATGCGGGACACTTTCGGGCACCTTTTCGGCCCCTGCTGGCTCCAACAACGGCCCTGAAGGGTTCCTTCGCGGCCCTTTTCTTCATCCCCTCTTCAGGTCACCCTCATTACCTTGCCCACGATGCATCCAAGTGCTAGCCCGGCTGCCCTGCAGTGCCGATTCACATTTTTGCCGCGATCTGGCTAGAGATGCGTCTCTGGGGTGTGTCCTACCTGCCTACCCCTCATTACCACCCGCCCGAAGGACGAGGTCACCCCGACAAGGAGAAAGCGGTTTCGCTCTCTCGTCGCGCCGTGCAGGTGGCCGGGGCGACGCTGCGCGGGGTCGGCGGTGTGCCGGCCGAGGATGGAGGGCCGGGTTGGGCAAGCGGCCTCTCCGTGGGCCTCGCGGGCTGTCCGGCAATCTGTCTCCAGGGATGTCCCGTGGTTGTCCCGCGGGTTGTTGCCCCACGGGTTGTCCCGTGTTTGTCCCGCGGGTCGTTCTTTGGATCGTCCTGTTTTTGTCCCGTGGTTGTCACGCGGGCGGTCACGTGGATTGTCTCGTGTGTTGTCCCGCGCTTGCCCCGTATGCTGTCCCGTGGGTTCTTGAGTGGTCCTCCCGTTGGTGTCACGTGGGTGTCCCGGGGGTTGCTACGTGGGTTGTCCCGTGGTTTCCCCGAGGGTTGTCCCCTGGGTCGTCCCGTGGTTGCCTCTTGGTTGCTTGGTTATCTTCTGGATTGTCCCCTGGATTGTCTCGTGGTTTTCACGTGGTTGTGCCCTGGATTATCCCGTGGGTTGTCCCATGTAGTTGTCCCGCGGGTAGTTGCGTGTGTTGCGGCGTGTGTTGTGTCGTGGCTGTCCCATGGGATATGCTATCTATATGCGATCCAGCATGAGAACATGATCTCTCGAAAGACAAGAAACACGTAATGTGACAGGCGTGCTGCATGAACCAATGCAGGCCGACAGCCTGGTGTATGCACATCACACGTGTCGACACGAATCTATTTGGCGTCACAAACTGTTTTCGTTTTGAACCAGCTCGTCATGCTCCGTGTGCCGTCAGGGGCCTGGCCGTAAACTTCAGCTCTCAGACGTACGAACACGGTTTTTGAGCATTTCACGCGCTTGGATGTTTGTTGTTTGGCCCGTGGCCATTTCGTTCAAGCTCTTTTCTGGACGACGGGCGCATGTCACCAAACATTATCCCGAGCCTTGGGAGCGGGCTGCTTACCATAACGAGCGTTGCTAGGTCGGCGGTCCCGTGGCTTTCGTCTGTGGCCGACTAAGCCAAGGACTGCGTGTAGGCGGATTAGGTGGTCCGTTTGGCGCCAGTACTCGCGCTGCTGATCTGGGTCGGTAGGTTCATCAGAGGGGTCTTGGTCTGTCTCTCCTGAGGCGTCTGCGTTTCCCCGCGTCGGGAGACGAGTCAACTTGAAGCGGGAGTACCGTATTAGTTGGCAGGCCCGCGTCTCGTATGGAAAAGATCATGGAAGTGAAGGTCGGCGCCGACACCGTCAAGGCGAAATGTCTCTGGTAGTGCAGCCAGACTTCGACGTGTACCCTATCGCGCTCGACCTGCTGATGATCACTGGCCTGGAGGAGCTGGACTACGAGAACAACGTGGTAGGGACGTCAGCTCTTCAGCAGGGGAGCGGGACTCTGCCCAACCTGAAGCCGTTGAAGTGGTACGTGGCGTCAGCGTCGGAGGATACGCCGACTGGGCAGCCGTTGTCGGTGACCGACGTGGGCGGCTTCTGTTGCGCCGGCGAGTTCGCCCTCGAGCCGTTTGACTGCGAGGTCTTGTTCCCGCAGGCCGCCGATCCCAAGAACGGGAACTCGCAGCTGGAGGTGGACGTCCGCACCATGCCAATCCAGTATTTGGCGAACGGCAAGCGCAAGTGGACGTTCAAAGTGGCCGTTGAGAACCTGAGCGAAACGAAATGGCCCGTGTTGGGGCCCAGGACCACAGCCTGGCACTTTCGATTCGTAGCCGAGCAGACGGGTCACCCCCGGGCCCGGCACACCAAGCAGCTCCACGGTCGCGGAAGGGTGGCCGACCACAAGATGGCTCTGCGAGCCTCCAGCTTTTGGCTCTGCTGCGACCAAGCGAGCATCGGCGAGATGGCGGCGTTATCGCAGGCGTGGGCCCGGCGGCGGAGTGGAGGGACCGCGATCGCTGTGCGCCCCGCTGGGCCGACGAGACCTTGGAGGACGAACGCCCCTACGCGGGCACCAGGGAGGCCCAGGGGCTCATCATGGTGACGCTGTCGCTCGTGGAACACACCTCAAGCGAGCTGCATCGCGAGCGCCATCATGCAAGGGATGCGGACGCCTCGCAAGGAGCGCCAGGTCTCGAGCGGCGGAGGCAGCACGGGCAGCGACGCGAAGGAGGCCCTGCAGGAGAAGATCGAGTCCCGGGCCGCGGAGCTTCGCCAGCCCCAGGTCCGCCGGGACGCCGCTGGTGACCCTGCGAATGGAGGCGGCCGCGGCGGTGGCCGAAGCGACAAGCGACTGCGCGACGCCGGCGCCCCGGGACCTGCTTCCCGCGTCGGTCCCGGGGCTTGAGGGCGGCGAGGGGGCCCCCTCCCGCAACCGCGCGGTGCGCTCGCGCCGCGCGCGCGACGCCGGTCGTTCGTCGATTCCTGGGCGGACGAGGTTTGCGCGGCGCTGAATTGCCCCGGACGCGGCGAGGGGCCCGACCTCGGTCAGCCCAGCAGTGGGGAAATTCCGGTTTATCAGCAAGCTCGGAACGCAGTTCAAAGGATCGGCAGTCTCGGCATCTTCTGCGCGGGGGCCTTCCGAGAGCAGCGCGCGCCCGCCCCTCTCCGAGCCCGAGAAGCCTGCCGCCTTCAAGCGCGAACAGGTCGGGGCGGGGCGCGAATGGCCGCGGGCGGACCGGCTGCAGTGGGGGAGGCGCCAAAGCGATGGGAGGGTCGGCGCGAGCGGCCGTTGCGGTCGCGACTTGTCGGCGAGCCGGCAAAGCCACGTTGCTACCCCAAGCTCATGCGCAGCAAGACTTCGCGCGCAGAGTTCGTGGGTGACTTGATTGGCGCGGCCGCGGCTTGCCCTGGGCCGCAGAGCGAGGCCACGCCGGGGGCATTCTTCGCGCCGACGGGCGCCCGGGCGCGCCAGCCGATCCTCGATGCGCGGCGGGCGAACCGGCTTTTCGAGCAGCCCGCGCGCGTCTCGCCCCCCGCTGGCGCGCGGCGGGGCGCGCGCGCCACCCCGGCGAGGAGCTGAATCTTGCCTGGGTGGGCAACGAGGCGCGCGTCTACCGCGTGGCCGTCTTCGTCGACGGCCTCTCCGGGTCGTCTTGCCTTGCGACGAGCCCATCCTGGGCCAGAGATCTCCGATGGAGATGCGGCGTCGCCTCGTCTCGCAGCACTGCCCACGTGCTGGAGCTGGTCGCTGTGTTTTTTGTTGAGAGTTCGCGATTCAGCGCGCGTTGCGCAGCGCCTTCTCGCCCGGTTCGACCATCGCGGACCGGCGGGCGGCCCCGGGCCTGAAGGGGCCGCGGCCGCGGCGATCTACGTCGACGGGGCCGCCGTTTTGGGCGCGCTTCCCCGAGGTGAAGGAAACCTTTGAGCGGCGCGGCCCGCTGGCCAGGGGGGTCGTCGAGCCGCGCAGCGAGCGCGCGTTCGCGGGCCTGACCTTCCACGGGGCCAGCGGGCGGGCCTCGCCATCCCGCTCGCGCCCGCGGGGCATTCGGCGGGCCTCCTCTTCGCCGCCTGCGCCGAAGCGCCGGCGGGCAGGTCGGGCAGTTGCTGGGCCACTTCCCTGGCGAGCCTGACTCGGCGCGGGCCCTTCTCGGTCTCCGCGGCCGCGCGCTCGTTCGCGGAGAAGGCCGGGGGGTCGATCCGAGCGCCCCCCGGGCAGTGGTGCGCCGTGAGTTCCGCGACGCTGATCGCCTTCGCATTCGCGGGCCTCGCGCGGCCGATCAGCGGCGCGGCGGTTGCCGCGGATGCCCCCGAGAGCCGCCGCGATGAGAGCATCGGAGACCGCGGCGGCTTCGGCCAGCCGCGAGCTAGACCCTGACATGACCCAGAGACCCGTGCGAGTGAGTGAGCGGTGGAGGCCAGCAGTCGGGCTCGGGCTGCTTCTCTTGGCCCGCGCCAGGACCTCCGCGCGCGCCAGGAGAAGGACGAGCACACCTTCGACGCCATTGGCGGCGACCTGCGCCCGACCCCACGCGGCCCCCCGGGGTGTTTCGAGGTCCCGGAGCCCCCGCTGGGCGCCTCAACTGGGCGCTCGCCCCCAGGGCCCGCCGGTGGACCCATGCGCGCCCCGGGCGGTCCCTTCGAGGTGGCGGGGGGGGGCGTCGCCCTGGGTCTGCCAGGGAATTGGACGGGATGTTCCTATATAGGCGCGCGGGGCGGGCTGCTGATCTGAAGTTCCTGGGGGCCGGGGGTATTCGCGCGGAGGTTCGGCGTCTTCTCTGGTCTCATCGTGGTTTAGGCCATCGCCTGCTAATGCCGTCGAAACAACTTGTCCCTCGTCCTCGCAGCTGGGAAGGGGGGGTCCCCGGTCCCAGCTGTGAACGCCGCACTGCGTCGTACTGCAGCGGTTTGCAGGCGCCGATCTCGCCGTTCAGTGGATGCGCCTCCGGGCCCAGAGCATGGCGAGGAGTCGCTATGGCGCGCCGCTGTCGAAGCCGTTGCTGAAGAGGGGCGCCGCTCTGCCGCCTGCCGCGCAGTCGCGGGGCGCGGGGACGCCTGGGTCGTGGGGCCGACTTGAGGCGACCGCCGCGCGCCATCGGCGGCGGCTCCGAGGGCGCCGAGCAGGGCGGCAGCCCAAGCAGCGCCGATCGGGGACAGCCTCCGCGGTAGGGAAGATTCGCTTTCGCCGAGCGCGGGATCTTGCTGGCCAGGCAGCGTCGCCGGAGTTCTGCGGACGTTTTCGCATACCCCCAAGGTCGCGAAGGGCTCGCTGCTGCATTCGACCTGTGGTACGGCCGCTTCGCGGCGTGGCTGGCGGAGCGTCAGGCGCGCTTGCGGGCGCCAGCGGAGCTGGGCGGCTTGCCGAGCGCTTGCCTCGATCACCTGTTCATCGAGGGCCACGGGCAGGACGCTAAGGTGATCGCCGCGGTGAAGCACGACTGCACCGACCTAGACTCGGAGCGGAAGCTGCGCGCGTCCATGAGGGGACTCCGCAAGTTATCCCCAGGCCGCACCTGGCGCCCTCTCGCCTTGGAAGGCTTGCGCGCGATCGCGGGCCCAGCGGCGCTGGGCCTGGGGGCCGAGTTCGCGGCGGCCCCGGTTGCGACGCGCGACGCGAGCGCCCACCGACCTGCTGAACTGGGAGCCTCAATGCCTCGCCCCTCCCCAGCGTCGGGGCCTCAAGTGGAGCTGAAGGCCGCCCCTCCGCCCGGAATAGTTAGGAAAGCACAGCGGCGGGCAAGTATTGGACGGAGGCAGCCCGCTTGTCGGAGGACTTCTCGCGAGCCCATGGGCCGCTCCTGCGCGAGCTGCTCGCCGGGCCGGGGCCTGACGCCATCTGAGAGGTCAGCGCCGCAGAGTTTGTCACCAGTTTCAGGACATGCGCCTGCCGGCTGGGGATGGGCGACCCCCGCCCATGCCGGGCCCGCATCGGGTCGGTCAGCTGCGACCGCCCGGGCCGCAGCAGGCGCCGGCGCGGCCCCGCCGCGCCGGCCTCGTGACTACGCGAAAACACGAGCAGTCCGCTCGGCGCCTCGCGGAGGCAGCGAAGGGCCCCGCCAGCGTCCGCGCCTGCGGGAAAAGCGCGCGGCCGCGCCCCGAAAGCTCCTCCTCGGCAAGGACAGCGCCGGGCCGCCGTCGCCGCGGCCAGGCGCGCCACGGTGAAGATGCCCGAGGCGGGCGACACCTTCGAGGGTCTGCGCTGGCTGAGCTTTTCAGCGCTGGGTCCGCGAGCTTTTTGCGCAGGCCCCGTCAGAAGGCCGATGCTTTTTTTTGGATCGGGTCGTTGGTTGGGGATCAGTCGGCGCCGTCTTCATCCGCCTCGAACCCCAGATGAATCTCACGGACCCTCGATTGACCCGAGTTCTGCTGGGATGGATTGGGGCTGGCCGCGCGCGCGGCGCCTCGGCCGCGCCGCCCGCCGTGCAGCGCCTGGCCGACGGCCGGCCGCAATTTTCATCGGCATCATTTTCAACAGGGATGGGCACCGTCACGCATGCGCTGCAGCCCGGGAAAATCCCGAGATCGACAACGCATGTGTCGGGCAGCTCCAGAAAGTCATTCGTGCATGTCTGCGGCGAGGATTGCCTGCGGGTTTCGAAGACCCCGCAACCGAGTCTGTTTTCGAGCATGTCGCTGGACAGATGCGTTGCACGAATCTGCTTTTCCATTTCTGTGCTCACGGCGCCCGTTGGCGCAAGCGCACCAGGCTGCTCGCGTGGAATTGTGGCCCGGGCCCCCTGGCGCTGTGCAAAAAGAGTTCAGGGGCAAGGCATATTTGCAGCTTCGCGGGAAGACCTCACCTCAGTCTTGGGGGGAAGGCTCCGTGCGGTCGGAATTGGACCGCGCTTGCCCATGCCAGCCCCCTGCCAGTTGCTCGGGCCATTGCACTGCGGCTGCGCCAGGCAGCCCACAGACTCCAGCTCGCAAAATATGCGTTTATGGTGTTCGAGTTTCATGTTCGCGAGGTGCTGGTGCACTCGCGTGAAGTCATAGCCCCCCGTTCGCCTCCAACAGAAACGCGGATGACATGCTCGTTGTTCAAATGTGTCATCCTCCGTGCCTGGCCGTAAATAGCAGTTCTAAAACGCGCGAGCTCTGTCTGTACGCCAAGCGCCTGGGTATCTGTTGTATGGTCCGTGGCTATGCCGCTCAAGCTCTCCACGTCCTCTCTTTGTCCCCCTCCTTCTCTTGCATCGGATACTTTTTAAGCCTTCAGGCCTGCTTCGAAATAAATGCCTGCGTTGTCGAATAGAACCGCATCATCTCTGGTCAATTCGGGGGGGCACATACATATACATATATATATATATAAATGTATATATATATATACATATATACACACACCTATCTATACGTATGTAATGTATATGCTTCAGAAGCCTCCTCCCGCAAAGCTTGCCCGACGCAGGAAAGCTGTACAGCGTAAAGTGAGTAAGGCAGCTTACTAGTTTTGCCATCGCATCCTTAGCTATACAGTTCGCTGATCCAGAGGAGGGGCGCGTGGCTCCATTGACAGGTCGGTCGCCAGATTGCGAGTTTGATGCGGAATCCCCAGATGTTCGTCTATGGCGACATCTTGCCCACTACCTTTCTTGTTCTCTTCGTCCTCCCAACTGCTCCTTCCCATGCCCATCCGTTCTGCTTCCCCCTCGGTCCCCCCCCACCCCGTTTACCAACCCCCACCTTACAATATGTGTGTTTGTTTATTCCCTGAATCTTAGCTTCTCTCTCTCTTTCTCTCTTTTTTCTCTCTCTCTCTCTCTCTTTTTATCTCTCTCTCTCTCTCTCTCCCGCTCTTGCTATTGTTTTGCCCCCCTTAACTCCCATAAGGTATTCCTTTCTTTCCCAGGTTTCTCACAGTCAGCTCCTTCCTGTCCAATGGCCTGGTCCAGCGGCTCGTCGAATAATAGTGATCAGAACAACGAAGATGCATCGACCTTGGCAGCTATGTGTCCGGCGAGGCCAGGGAGAGGAGCGCGAACAGGAGGAGAACAAGGCGGTTTTCTCTTCCCTGGCCCCCGCCCTTCGCGCTCCCCGTTCCCCAAGGCCCCTTTCCCATCTCACAGCCCTTCCCTCTCCACTTGCCCCTTTCTCAAGGGAGGGAAAACCACCCAGACCCGAGAATTGGCGTTTGCAAAACGGCCTTGGGCGCTTGCTAAACCGCCCTGCCCTGTTCGATTCCTTCTTTGGGCGCGTTTACTAAACGACTTCGCGTGCCGGGGTGGTCATTCTGGGAGTGTCTTTTTGTACTTCTGCTTCCGTCAGACAAAACCGCTGTTTTATTTGCTGCGCCACCAGCGCTCGTCGCCGTGCACTTTTCCGTCGCTCCCAGACGTCGCCAGGGCTGCTCTCCAGACGCCACGCAGGCGTGCGAAGGGGACCGTTCCCTGCGGCCGCCGCGCCTCGAGAAAGAGAGGGCGCCTTGGGGGGTCGATGCGACCCCCCCCCCCGAGCCAGCCCCCGTCCCCGGCTGGCTTTCCGGCAGATGGCTCCGGCCTCCGGCGGCCGTTCGCGACGAGCAGGGCCCCCCCCTTGTGCGCCTCTCGACGAGGCGCAGCCGCTGGAGGCAGTGCCGAGGCCGGAACACTGCCGTGGGTTTACGAAAAAACGCCCCCGAATCTCGAACTTGCCCCCCCCCCCCCCCTCGAGAATGGATGGGCGCACGTATGTCACCACCTACCAAATCACCCCAACCCAACCCGAAGGCCTCAAATCTACCTCCATTTCCAGTGGGGGGGGGGTCGGGGAACGTCGAGAAAACACATATGGAACCCGTACCCCCCCCCCCCCAACCCGAAATTCGGGTCTTCGGGTTGGGTTGGGGTGGTCTGGTAGGTAGTCAGTCTGCTCCGCCTTTTTTATGCAGGGCTTCCACGACGCCTGGGACGACGACACGCTGTGCGGCGTGCTGAGGACCCCTGCGCGTGCGCCCAGAGCACGGGCGCCTCAAAATCCTCGGGATACGGCACAACGGATGGGGCGACGACGGGGATGGGTAGGAGCCATGTAGATTCTGTCGATTCGAATCCGTTCGGCTTCGGGGTCCGATTTCGATTCGATGCGGCTCTGGCTTCCGACCTTGACTTGGCTTTCCTCGCGCATGCCACGGCTTGGTCCAGCGGACGTCGATTCCGATGCATTCCGATCTGCTTGCCGACATGTGCCGATTCGATTTTGGGGCATACTGGATGGAGGGGCCGAGGGCGGGGAGGAATGCGTTAGCCCTCAGATTCGGGCGTTGCATTCTCTTCACACTGGCTGGGGGATTTCAACTCGGTCTCGGGCCCCAGGGCCATCACGGATCCATCCGGCTCGAAACGTGTTCCAGAGAGATGGGGTCTACGGGGCTGTGGTCGCCTGTTGCTCGCAATGTGGCAATTTGTTCGCACCATCGGATCCCAGGGCAGAAGTGTCAAGCGCGGCGGCGGCCGAGGGAGAGAGAGGAGACTGGGGGCTGGGGGAGGGAAGGGAGCCGTGGAGGCGGTGCTGGAGGAGCGGAGTCCAGATTGCAACCGCAGCCTTGCATCATCAAGCATTATACAACCCCCTTAACCCTAATACCACGATGGATTCGTGGCCTGACTGAGGTCCTCGGGTTTGGGGGGTTATCCCAAGTCATGTGGGGTGTTTCCGTTTGAGAAATCCGCGCAAAAAGACCCCTTGCCCCTCATGTTCTTGGCCCTCCTATCTCAGCTCCTCTCCCAAAGGATTAGGGGTACGTTTACTGCGTATCACCCCAGACATGCGACGTCCTGATTTTTTCAGGACGGCGTCCCCGGAAGTCCAGACCCGTTCTTTCCCCGGGGCCGGCTTTCCATCCTGAGTCGTTTTTTGACGGTCCCAGGGCCCTGCGAGGGCCCCCAGGGGCCGAAAATAGCGAAGAAACGCCCGCCCTGATCTGTTTTACGACGCGATCACGTCTGGGACTGCACGTGCGCCAGAGACGCTCGGAGTGCTCGCGCGGGGACGGACCCTGTCCTCCGACGCCGCACCTTGCTCCGGCGTCGGCCACCCCGCGCTGGGCGCCCTTGGCCGTTGCCTGCAGGCCCACGGGCACCGGCCGCGGACACCCTCGATGCCCCGCCGGAGCGGCACGGCTAGCCCAGACGAGTGCTCGCGCGGGGACGGACCCCTTCCTCCTACCCGGACCCCCGACGCCAGGAGTTGTTCATGACGTGGCCCTCAAAAAGTCTGGACCCCTGCTCTCTCGGGGGCCAGTTCTTCAGCCTGAGTTCCTCTCTTGATGGTCCCGAGGCCCGGGAAGGGCCCCCAGAGGCCGACAATGGCGACAAACCCTCCCGTCGCGATTTTGTGCAGGACTCGAGGATCTCTGGGGACACTGCGCAGCCCCCATGGGCGCCCTGGGCCGTGGTTCGAAGGCCCCCCTTGGCGCCCTCGGAAGCGGCCTATCTGCCCGAAGGGGGAGGGCGACGGCGCACCGGCCGCCCGAGGGCGGAGCGAGGGCCGCAGCCGCCTTCGGGTGCCGGCGCGCGAGGAAGGCCGAGGCTCTTTCGGGAGAGAAAAACACACAGACACAATTAATCGTCGACTCCCAGGAAAATATTAGGAAAATATGGGAAGTGGGGGGGAAGACGAAAACCAAGAAAATGTGGGAAAATATGGGGAATCCTGTTATTTGTGTGTGTGCGTATTTATTTGTGTCTCCCAGGGCCCCTTCACTCTTGGGCACCGCGTAATGAGTCGTCGGCACGAACGACATGTGTACGGAAAGAATGGGTACAATGCCCAACAGCAGTTCCAGGTCATTTTGAACAGGGACTCGCTGTCGGTGTCGCCGCGGCCTGTGTCCACTTGAGGCAGAAGGCCGCCTGCCCAAGAGTGGCCGCTGCTGGTTTGGGACGACCTCTGTTGTTGGGCATTGTGCCCCTACTTTCCGTGCCCATTTCGGGCGTCCAACATCAAGGGGGGGGAATCATCGGGGAAGCTCAAGACTCGAGGACGCCAGAACTCGGGCTTGACAGCGCTTCTTGGCGAGCGCGTCCTGGATTCTGGCGGTCCGGTTTTGGTTGGGGCGTCTGCAGCGGGAGCTCGCGTCGGATTGCAGATGGGGTCTCGTCATTCTCATGATGGCCCGCCCAGGGCAACCCGAGTCCCCCGAACCCGAGTCGTACGTCGCCACGAAATAGAATGGGGGACAGCGGGGGCTGCAGAAAAGGGACCCTTCAGTCCCTCCTCAAGGAGACCCTCGGGCAAAAAAAGGAGGCCCCTGGGGCCCGAGAAGTGCACATTTCTCCCCCCCCCCCCACCCCGCCCCATTTATCCCCCGCCCATGTAGCGAAGCCCAAGGCCCCTCGAGTCAAGGCAAAGTCACGACCGAAAGTTTTTCGTAATTGTCGGCCTCTGGAATCTGAAGGCCCTTACGGGCCCTCGGAACCGTCAAAGAAAGAACGACTCGGGATAAAAAGCCGGTCCCACGGAGTGGATCGCGTCGAGACCTCCTGGGGTCGACGCTATGAAAAAATGATGCCGTCAGGGATCTGGGAGGCCGTCAGGGAGGCGATGGACTGGCGAGGCGTTGCGGCAGCCGGCCGAGAGCCGCTTGTTAGCGGCCGGGCGCCAGTGCGTCGTTCCGACGAGGTTCGCGGCGCTTGCCGGCTGGTCGGCTGGCAGGATCGTTTCGAGGGCGAGGGAAATGCGGCAGCGGTGAAAAAGTAGTGGGGGCAAGGTGGTGGGGGAGAGGGTGGGCGGAAGGGGGTACAGGAAGGAAGGGGGGCGGAGGGAGGGAGGGAGGGAGGAAGAGGGGGGAAGAGGGGGTAGATCACACCAGTTCGGGCGGAATGTCCGCCCAGGCGCGCGGGCTACTAGCGCCCGGCGCGCCCACGTCTTGGAGTGGGCGGTGCCGCCTGAGAAGCAGGGGTAGGGGTATCCTCCCCACTGGCGCGGCCTGTGAGGACCACGACTGGAAACCGAAAACGGGAAGTGGTGATACGGGCGAGACTCGCTCCTTCTGCACGCCCGTGAGCAGAGAGGCACCTGCTTCACACACGTTTTCGCATGCGTGATCTGGCGCCCGCGGCAGAGAAGGCGCCACCTTGGGGCACCCCCCGCGGCGGCCCAGTGCGAGGGCTACGGGGAAGTTGCCAGCTGCTCGCGCAGCGTACTCAGAACGGAGAGGTTAGCACTGGTATGCTATCGATGAGCATCGACTCGCGCCTGGTGGCTTGCCTGGGAAGGGGCCCCGAGGCTGCGATTGGGACTGAGGGGGGTCGATCCAGGCGGTCTGTGCTCTTTGCAGTCTGTCCAGACGATGCCATGACCGTTCCTGGGCGCTACGCAGCGTCAAGCCCAGCCAGGTAGAATTCCGATACAGCGTCGTGATGCTGGTCGTGCAGGCAGTCCTTCGGTCGGGGTCAGCCGAGTGACAGGCGGCCGTGAGGCGTTGCGAGGCACGGCTCCGTTCGGTGGCTTGTACTGGCGTCAGTCGGATACCTTCAACTTGGTTGATGATGCTGAGGCTGTGAGGCCGTGGTGCCTTTGCCTTGGTCTCGTGACCTGCAGTTGGCTTGGCAGTACTGGCCGTGCCGTCCGCGCCTGCTGGCGGGTGCCTTGGCGTGAGCTGCGCACGTTCTGTGGTCGCCGCATCCTCGCCTGGTGGCGGGTGGGCGGGCTGCTTTGGTGTTAGCCTCACTCGGTCGGTCTGTCGAAGTGCGTTGCGTTGTGGGCTTGGGAGTGCGGCAGCCCTGTCCCGCCCATCGGGTTTGGGCGCCGGGTACTGGCCCACCCGAGGGCCCGGCCCGCGACTCGCCGCCAAGCCCGCGCGTGTCCTCACTCTGGTCGTATAGTCTCCTGGGGCGGAGACTCGGTGGTCGCGTAACTGCAGAGGCGCAGTCGCCTCGTGCCTTCTCGGGGGCGGGGAGGCCCAGGGCGGGACGGTGGAGGACGAGCTACGTTCCGGGTGGTCGCCCCCTCGTGCAACTTTTGCGAGGTGGTCGGTCAGACGCCTGGGGCGGATTCCTGGTGTAGGGGGCCTCGTGCGAGCCCTACCCCTACCCCCCACGATTTCTGAGGGGGAGGGTGGGGTGCACTTCGTTCGGGAGCTCCCGAACGAACCTCCCCCTCAGAAATCGTGGGGGGTAGGGGTAGGGTTCGCATGTGGCCCCCTATGGAGGACAAGCTATACGTTCCGGGCGGTCGCCCCCTCGTGCAATGTTTGCGGGGTGGTCGGTCCGACGCCCGGGGCGGCTCCCCGCGTCCAGGGGGATGGCGTTCCGTCCCGTCGCGCTCCTGCCGTCGTGCGGAGGAGGAGGAGGAGGAGGAGGAGGAGGAGGAGGAGGAGGAGGAGGAGGAGGAGGAGGAGGAGGCTGCGGCGGCGGAGGATGGGAGAATCGGGAAGGGGCAGGGGCAGGGGCAGGGCGAGGGGTGGTGGTGGGAGGTGAGGGCAGTGGCGGGTGGGGAGAAGGAGGGGTATGAGCAGACGAGGCGCAGCCGCTGGAGAACACCGTGGGGAGCGACCACTCGCAGTGACCCGAAACGAATCTCGGACGACCCCCAAGAAACTCCGTGGTGCAGTAGGCACACCAGGCGAGAAACCAGCCTGCCAGCAGTTGCCCTGAGGAAGGTTCTGATTTGGGATGGCCACGGGGACCCACATATACGGCTCGGGAAGGGTCGGTACTTGGCCAGGAAGTGCCCTCAGACTATGATAGGTTGCCAGCACTACGTGTCATTGCACGTGTCAGTTGTGCGTCCCCCGGGTATTTTTTGTTCTCCGTGCGTGGAGATCGAGATACGGCGGCGGCATTGGATAAGGAACGTGTTCCTGGGGCCCAGACCCTGGCGCATTCCTTCTTGTTTCAAGGCGAGGTGGGTGGTCCACGTCTGGCCGCCCATCGGTCGCGAGACCCGGGGCTCCTTATCGAATGCATCCTTATCCTAAATCTACACCGTATTTCCATGTTGTTCCCCAGCGAGCACGCAGGCGCGCCCATCTGCATGCCCGCGCACACGACGCAGAGTGGGGGCCGGGGGTGCCAGGATTGACGAGGGGGGCAGGGAGCTTCCCTGGGCCCGCGGACCGTCAAACACGACTTAGGCAGAATGAACAACTGGTGATCGTTGTCTTATTTTTTTTCGATCGGCGCGGGCCTCGCACCTCCCTCCCGATGCAGTAGGTCTCGCCTGTTTGGGGCGCCTGTGTCAAGCAGGTGGGGTAAGCACGGGGGGCCCGTCTGCCCATCGGATTCCCCAGGGGAGCATTGTTCCAAACAGTGGCACCAAGAGCAGGTTTTGAGCCAGACCCCCCCCCCTCCCTTCGCTCACTGTCGAAACGCCGAATTCGGACATCCTGGATGCCAAGGTGAGGCGGATGCCAAGGTTTGGAGTCCCGGATGCCAAAGTGTGGCGGGGTTCCAGGCGAGGGGCTGCATAGTTTGCAAAGCTGGGTCACTGCAGGCACGGTGCACAGGGACGAGGGGTGATGGAGGAGGAGCGCGGAGGGAGAGGGTAGGGAGGAGGTGAGAGAGAGGGTGAGGAGGGAGAGGGAAGGAGGAGAGGATGAGGAGAGAGAGAGAGAGGGGGAGGGGGAGGAAAGAGGGAGAGAGAGAGAGAGAGAGAAGGAGGAGGGAAAGGGGAGCGCGGAGGGAGAGGGGGAGAGGGTGAGGAGGGAGAGAGCAGGAGCACACCGGGCAGGAGTGCCGGGGAGCGCAGGGCCTGCCCTGCCGCGAGGAACCCACCGCGCAACCACCCAGACTACCTCTACCGCGAGTCGGTCTGCCTGGGGATGACGCCCCTCGACGAGGACGGGACGTGGGGTTGAGGTGGAGGGTTTCTCTGTCCTCCTCCTCCTCCTCCTCCTCTCCTCCTCCTCCTCCTCCTCCTCCTCCTTCTCCCTCCTCCATCTCCTCCTCCTCTCCTCCTCCTCCTCCTCCTCCTCCTCCTCCTCCTCCCTCCTCCATCTCCTCCTCCACCTCCTCCTCCTCCATCTCCTCCTCACCCTCCTCCTCCTCCTCCTCCCTCACCCTCCTCCTCCTCCTCCTCCTCCTCCTCCTCCTCCTCCTCCTCCTCCTCCTCCTCTTCATCCTCCTCCTCCTCCTGAGGTCGAGCTCAGCATCGGCGCTGGAACGTCCGCGGTCGGAGACTGGCCGGAGCCCGTGCAAACCAGACCTCCGGCGTCGTGATTCGTCGAAGCCCCCAGAGGTCTCGGCCCCTTCCTGGGGACCGGTTATCCTGAATCGTTGTTGGACGCTCCCGATGCCCGGGAAGGGCCCCCGGAGGCCGAAAGCAACGAAAAACCTCCCGTCATGATTTTTGTCACAACGCGAGGAGGTCTGGGAATCCGGCGCAATCCCGCCTAATCCGGCTCCATGTCGGGATTCGTCCGGCCTGATCCAGCCTAAGGGACCCTCTCTCGGGCTTCATCGCCCCCTGATCGTTCTCACGGAGGCCTCCCAGGAGTTTTCTTGCAAACAGTGCAGCCAGCGGAGCGCCAAGGGAGGAGCAGCAGCTGCAGCACGAGCGGCAGTCGCCAGGGGGGAAACGGGTCCTGACGGGAAACTGGTCCTGAGTTTTTTGTTCCCCGTTTTGGGGTTCTCGGAGCCCTCCATGGGCCCCAGGATTGTCCGAAAACGGCTCAGGATAAAGATCTCGTCCTGGGAGGAGGCCCCTGAGGAGGAGGAGAAGGAGGAGAAGCAGGAGCAGGACGAAGAGGACGAAGACGAGGAGGAGGAGGAGGAGGAGGAGGAAGAAAACGACTCAGGATGAAGATCTCGCCCTGGGAGAAGGCCACAGGGCTGAGGCCTGGCCGCCAGGGCTCGGGCCGCGTTCTTCTCGCGGCCTCGCCTTCCCTCCCCGATCTTGCGCGGTTTTTAGAAGCGGCCCGCCCGCGCCGGCCTTCCATGCCCCGCCTCCGGCGGACTCAGGTGCACCTTGCCGTCCCTTGCCCTGCCCTCGCTCCTCCGTGCTCCTTGCTCGCTCTTCCTTCCCCGCACCTGCGGGACGTCCTTCGCGGCGTTGCCTGGACCCGCTTTTCCCCCAGGAACCGCCTCCCATCATGTTGGGGCGAGGAGGCAGCATAGGCCCTCATGCATGAGGCGTGACGGCCCAGATCCTGGCCGCCCGCCGCAGCGAACCCTTGGGCCGGGGGCGCGCGAGCGCCGGCGGTCAGGTGGCCTTCGCCTCCTCCTCCCCCTCCTCCTCCTCCTCCTCCTCCTCCTCCTCCTCCTCCTCCTCCTCTCCTCCTCCTCCTCCTCCTCCTCCTCACCTCCTCCTCCCCCTCCTCCTCCTCCTTCCCCTCCTTCCCCTCCTCCTCCTCTTCCTCCTCCTCCTGACCTCCTCTGGGACTTCTTTCCCCCCTTTTTCCCTTCCCCTCAGTGGCGGCGAATTCCCACCTCCTCCCCCCATCCTCCTCCTCCTCCCTCCTCCTCCCCTCCTCCTCCCTCCATCTCCTCCTCCTCCCTCCTCCTCTCTCCCCCCCCCCCCCCTCCACCTCCGTCTCCCCCCCCTTCTCCACCTCCTCCTCCTCCTCCTCCATCCTCCTCCTTCTCCTCTTTCCTCCTCCTCCTCCCCTTTCTCCTCTCCTCCACCTCCTCCTTCCCTTCCTCATCATCAGACATCATCATCATCATCATCATCATCACCATCAATCATCATCATCATCATCATCATCATCATCATCATCCCCCTCCTCCCCCTCCTCTCTTCCTCCTCTTCCTCCTCCCCTCTTCCCTCCTCTCCTCCTCTTCCTCCTCCTCCTCCTCCTCCTCCTCCTCCTCCTCCTCCTCCTCTCCCCCTCCCCCTCGCGGGCCACGCCCAGAGGGGGCCACGACCAGGACGACGGCGACGGCCAGGACGACGGCCAGGACGGCGACGACGGCCAGGACGTCGAAGGAGACGACGGCGAGGAAGGCGTCGAGGGGCTTCGGCGCCGAGGACGCTGACGACGAGGACGCTGACGACGAGGACTTCGCAGACGAGGGCAAGGGCGACGAGGGCGACGAGGGGTCGGCCACGCGCAAAGGGAGTGGTGCCGTAATTAAGCGGAGAGGGGAAGGCTTCTCAGAAGCACATTTGCTTCTCAGAAGGTGCGGGCCTTGTCTGTAGATGGAAGGCCAGCGCCTTCTAAGCAGCCTCCTTCTAAGAAGCACGGGGGCCTCCAGCGCCGTCGCAGGGCATTGTCGTAGTGTCGCAGGCCGCGATGTTTCTCCCCCAAGCCTGGAGTTCCGCCCGAAAGATTCGGCCGTTGCGAAAGGGCGGGGAACTATGGGGAACTCTGGGATGCACCCCCAGGGGGCTATTCGGGCGCACCATTCTATCGACGACGGGCGCCCCCCATCGTAGATCCCAGGGTTGGGCCCCCATGTTCTGGTCCAGTCGAAGACCTCCCAACGTCGGGGACTGGGGTCGCCAGAAAGCCGAACCCGGGACAGAAGGACCTCCTGCAAGAACACGAGACCTTCCGCTGGTCAACATGCAGAACGTTCGAGGGACCCTCCCCCCAAAGATGCATTAGAAGATCCAGCAAACACCAAGAACTTTAGGGTGCCCTCTCCGAGCCGACCGCGAACTTAGACCTCGGTCCCTCCGTAATCTACGTGGGGCTGGCTGTGGGGAGCCTCCTCCTCCTCTCACTGCTGGAGGAGGGGGGGAGGGGGGGGGGGGCGAGCATTTTGCAGCTTCGCGGGCCTCGACGCGCGATGCTCCTCGCACCTCCCGCGAGCGGCTGCCCCGCGGGGGCCGCGGGGCTCGAGCCCGAGCAGCCCGCCACGGGCTCCGCGTCGTCTCCGCATGCGCCCCCAGCCCGCGAGGCTCGCAGCAGGCGCCGCCATGCGGGCGGGCCGCGGGGCGGGGCGGCGGCGGGCCGCGAGGCTCGACAGGCTGTGCAGGGAAGCCCGTCGCAGGGCGCCGACCTATTCCTGCCGTGGACACGCTCACGGCGACGTAGGCAAGGGCGATGCAGGCTTCGGTATTGTGGGAGCGCGTGGCTCGCGCTTTCCTGCAACTCGCTGTGTCGTGTTCGTTCGATGCGTTCGCACGTCGGAGATGTAGGAATTGTGTGGTTCGTTACTTCCTACAGGTTAGTTCCCAAGACCACCGTTAAGCAACATCGCTGTTAGCGCGGCCTCGGTCCTGGAATCGACTTCGACTACACGTGTCTAGGCCTCTTAGATGGGGTCGGAGCAGATGGGCTCGGAGGAGCGCGCCGCATCGGCGATGCGTCGGCGATGCGGCTCGATGCGGATCCCGATTTTCTCCACGCCCACGTCGTCGGTGCATCGCCGACGTCGCCAGTGCATCGCCGATGCATCGCCGATACATCGGCGACGCATTGGCGATACGGCGCGATTCTTCGACCCCAGATATTCGGACCCCATCTAGGAGGCCTCTAACGTAAGAGTGACCCTTCGCCAGAGTGACCTCTGGTGCGGGCTCACTGGGGCCCCCCGATCGCCGAACGCGATGCGATAATAGCGACTTGCGCGCTGGTGTTCGGTACCCCAAAAACCGCGTACCGAAAATCACTCGTACTCAGAGTCACTTTGCGTGCAGCCGATTTAAACACATCTAGCCCGCCGCAGGCGCCGATGTTTCAACACAGTGCGGGCAGGTCGCGGGCGTAGGTCGCGGGCGCGGGCGCTGCCCGTAACCATTCTAACTCAAGCAGTTGTTGTTCAAGTTGTTGCCGGCTCCAGGCGTGGTCGATGTGTACAGTCGTAGTTGTTTCTCCGTTCGTGCGTCAATTGTACAACTTTCCCATCGTACTGTCTGCGTCGTTTAGTTCACGTTCGATAGGATGTGGGTGCAAGAATCGTAGTTGGAGCTGTACACATGTGTTCCTCCCACGTCGGTGGATAAGCAGCACTCGAGAACTTCATGGTTTGGCAATCAGAGTTAGCTCAGATCGTGAATTATGCCTTGAACGTGTATCGCAAATGTGTCGGCGTCGGGAACGATTGCAGTCGTTACTTCGGCGTCTGACTCTCCCTAGGCCCAACGCCATCTGTGTCGGTGGCAACAGCTACGTGCTGCCCATGTCAGCCCATCCCAGCGCACGCGAGCGTCGAACTCCATCAAATGATGATGTCGAGTACTGTGCTGGGTTCTTCGACGGCGATGGCTGCGCGTCGCTCCATTATTACTCACGCAAGTTGACAATGAGTCAAAGTGCCACTGGTGTTGCAGTATTGATGCGTTTCCGTTCATTTTTCGGAGGTAGCATCAGAGCGATTCGTCATGTTCATGGTTCTCATCAACGAGTATTCGTTTGGCAATGCCATGGTCCAAATGGTCGTGCAGCTGCTGCAGTTTTAAGCCGCGTGGAGTCTATGAAGCAGCAGCAGCTTCGCATTATCGCTGATGGGTGGCCCAAGTGCGCGGAGTTGCAGGAGTCACTGGTTGATAAGATGAAAACCCTGAAACGTTCACATCAACCTCGAATCATCATTTGCAGCTGGGCATACCTTGCTGGATTGTTTGACGCTGAAGGTTGTATCTCAATTATGCCAAGTACTGCAAGCCTTCGATTGAACATCAGTCAGAATCACGAGCAAGTATTGCTGTCTGTGCAAGCTTTTGTGTCGAAGGAACTCCCAGGCATGCCTACATATGTCCGAAGGAATGGTACTGGATTCAGCTGGTCATCTTCTCGCAGCGCCACGAGCAAGGCCATATTACCACACTTGCTCGCGGCTGGCTTACTTGTGAAGAAGGCCCAGGCAGAGTTGGCGTTGTCACTTACCAGGGACAACAAAATTGCACTGCGAAACGGCATGGCGCATTTAAAAGGAAGACAGGCAATGTACCGTCGGTTAGACGAAATGGGTTGCAAGCGCTCGGAAGAGATCGAGACATGGAGGAGGGCGGTGTATCGGTCCAGGCGTGCAGGCAACTTGGAGGCTGCTAAGGAAGCAGCCGCGGAACTCGATAACCTCGGACGGATCCACCGCTTACGCAATGCCGAGTCTGAAATTGCAGCCCTTCGTCGTAGCATTCGTTCCCTGATTATGGACGGGGCAACAATACGAAAACGCGGTGTGAGAAGGAAGGGGACTTGAAGCTACAGTAATGCCAGCGACCGTGGCCGAGTAGAGCTTGAGTGTGTGCGAAGCGCCCAGCGGGTCGCACAGTGTGGCGAGCTCTGCGCCGGTGGGCAGCAGGACGGCGACACGCAGCTCGACGCCCAGCAGCACAAGAGAACGCAGCAGCACGTCTCCAGCACCGAGGCGAGGGACGGGCAGTGTCGCGAGCAGCGCGCCTGTGGGCAGGACGGCTGCGACCAGGAGCGCGACGTCTAGCAGCACCTCGGGGAGCAGCAGCGCGACTCTGGTATCCAGCAGGTGGACGCGCGGTGTGGCGAGCGGCGCGACTGTGAGCAGTGCGGCGGACGGCGGCGGAGCTCCGCGAGCCGTCTCGCAGCCTCCCCCCTCTCTCCTCCGCCTCTCCCTCCCCCCACGCTCCTACAGTCGGGGCGCTGAGCAAGGAACCCTTGTCGTTGGGGAGGGGCTCGGTGTTCCTTGATTTGTTTTACAGTTTGCCTCAGGTGTTCCTGAGGTGTTCCATGGGAAGTCGAAGTTTAACGTATGGGGAAATTGGGCCTCGTTCCTTATTTAGGGTTCCTTAAGGTCAACGCCCCGACGGTATCGGCAGCGGCAGGAGCGGGCCGTGCCCCCGATTCCCGACGGCTTCTTCCCGGGACGCGAGGTTGGCCGCTGCTTCCCCCCAAGCAGAGGGTGGGGACGCTCTGCATCAGAGCGGATCGCCTGGCGAGGGTCGCCGGGGGGGAGGGGGGGATCGCGGGTGGGTTGCGGGAGGGTGGCGGGAAGGTCGCGGGTGGGGCGCGGGTGGGTCGTGGGCAGATTGCGGGTGGGTCGAGGGTGGGAGTGCAAACGCAACGCAACGCATGTGGCCGCCTCGCTCCCTCAGCCCGACGTGGCGCAGGGGCGTGGGTCGACACCGTCAGTTCATGCAGTCGGAATCGGTCGCAGCATTCGGTGCCATGTCTGAGGACAACCCAAACATCCCCCTGGCAAACATCGCATCAAGTAGCACAACTACTTGCCAGCTCGTACTCCGCCGCAGCATGGCCAGGGGCACCCACTGAAACAGTGGCGCAAAACCGTAACCAATTTTGACACTTGTCAAAGATGTACCCCTATATCTTCCTAAGGTCATCTAGGTGCCTATGTACATATATATATATATATATATAGATGTATGCACAAATGTACGTATGTGTGTATGCATGCATGCATGCATGCATGCATGCATGTATGCATGCGTGTGCATATGTGTACGTGTATGCATTGTGTATGTCGGTCCAGCATTGTTTCGGGAACGTGCAGGAAGACTGGTTCATGAGTTTGGGCTGGACATGGCCGCGTGCCGTGAAGTTATCGAAAGCTGCACTTTCCGATCGGTCGAGCGCCCTCGCGACGGTTGGCACAGGCCTTCGAAAGTGCCCTTACTAATGAGGACGATGAGGAACAGAAAGTCGAGGGCCATGGAGAAGCAGTGGTTGGAGTTCTGCAGCTTTGTTTGGGGGCTGGCCCTCAGGGCCCTGCGGGCAGGCGGATAGTTAAGTGGTGCGCCGGCCCTGCGTACCTGCTGGCGCTGGGCAGCGGGACCCCACATGGGCCCGAACAGGCTCCCAGCTCGGCCAGGCCTGATTCGCCCACTGTTCTCCACTGTTCCTTGGCATCGCTCGGACGTGAGCACTTTTTCCTTCGGTGAGGACCATCGAGGAGCCTGTTGGGTCATCTTGCGACAACATACACGCACGAAGCCGAAGCATGCACGGGAATGGACGTCCGAAAGATGGCGAGGTTCTCCGCCCCTCTTCAGGTGCACCCCTCCTCCTCACCTCTGCCTTCTCTAGGAGGAGGATCGCTGCACGCAGGTGCGGCATCCCGCGCGTGCGCGATTTGCGCGCGACTGCTGGAGGAGTTGCCCATGCGTTGTAGCGAAGGAAAAAGCGAGAGAGAGAGAGAGGAAAAAGAGAGAGAGAGAGAGAGAGAGAGAAAGAGAGAGGGAGAGAGCGAGAGAAAGAGAGAGAGAGAGAGAAAACGATAGAGGGTACAGTGGGGGCGCGCATCAAAAAACCAGATGCTTTTCGTCAGGGTATCCTGGGTTTCTTCGCTCCTCGCGCTGCGCGGTGACTTCCCGCAGCCGTTGAATGAGCTGCTGCGTTCAGGGTGCTCCAGGATTCCCCTCAGGTGCACCTCGCTCACGGGTTTTCAGGATTAGGTTTCTTGCGAGGGTTTCTTGCGGCCGCGCCCGCACTGTAGGATCAGGATGAGGAGGAGGAGGAGGAGGAGGAGGAGGAGAAGGAGCCAAACGTGTTCTCGAGCCTCTGGCTGCAGCCGTATGTAGCCGTTGTTCAAGGCCTTCTGTTCTTCGAGCTTCGTCACCGTGCGGGGACGAAGCCCGGATCGGGGAGCCGTGCATCCGTCCTCGTCCTGAACTGTAGCCGTGTTGGCTCACGGCAGCTCGGCTCGGCAGCGCGGATCAGGGCGCATGTGACGCGACATGAGGGCGCCTCCCTACATGAAGCCGGCCCTTGTCTCGGCGGCTCAAAGGTGCGGCCCCGATGGATGGGGCCCTGAGCACGAGTGGCCTCAAGCGGTAAAGGTTCAGCTGGGGATCCCTTTCGTATCCATCAGGGCCCTATCCCTCAGGGTCCCCATCTTTGAACCGCCGATGGTCCCCTCGCGCTCCGACCCCACGCTCCTGTCGTCGTACGGCGACGAAGTGGCGGAGCTGGCGAGGCTGCACCGCGGCCGCACGCCCGCGGCCTTCGCCGCGCTGGTGCGGCCCCTGCCGCGCCCCGCGGCCCCGACGGGCGCCGACTTGGCCACTGGAGACACCAGCCGAAGAAGGAACAGCTGCATAAACAGAAACTGTCAGAGCTCCGCGCTGAGTTCTGTGATGCTCGCTGGGCTCCCCTGGCGGCGCCTCTGGCGCCCCCCCCGGTTCGCTCCGCGCGTCCGAGGAGGCGGGGGCGTACAGCGCGGATCCAAGAAGTCCGCGCGGACCTCCGAGAGCTTGTGTTTGTGCCGTGTGTTTCTTGTTCTCACCATGGCCTCGATGGCGCTGGCACCAGCAGAGGTCACGAGCTGACAACAAGCAGCACCGATACCTGTTCGACCCCAAGACTTCTCAGGGTGGAGTGCTAAGGGGTTGCAATGTGTGTGTGTGCGTGTGTGCGCGTGTGTGTGGTCTTGTGTGTGAGAATGTGTGTGTGTGCGTGTTTGTGTGTGAGTGTTTTCGGATGATGGCCCCCGCTCGAACGGAGGCTCCCCTCGGTGCCCGACAACCCGAGCCCATACCTATGGCGCCTTCAATTTTTTGCCCTTCGCCACCCCTCCTCCCTACAGGTTTGAGTGCGTGCTGTTCTCTCATGAAGAAGCCCCGTGGCCGCTGGCGGCACCCCCTGACCCAGATCCCCGACATCGTGATTCTTTCATCACGTCGACACCCAGAGCTCTGAACCCATTCCCCTGGACCAGTCTCTTATCCTGAGTCGTTTCTTGACGGCCCCAAGGCCCAGTAGGGGCTCCAAGAGGCCGAAATTGGAGACAAACAAATCCCGTCTTGATTTTTCATGACTCGTGGGGGTCTGGGAACCTCGACCTCCAGGAGAACTCCTCCTCGAGAAACTCGAACCTCGAGATCCCCTCGAAGACCTCGACCTCCGCGAGAACTCCTCGAACAATCCTTGAGGCCTCCTCGTCGAGAACCCTGCGGTGCCCCCTCCCAGCTCTGAGGTACTGAGCCCTCCGAGATCTCCTCCTCGAAGGCCTCGAATCTCAGGAGGGAAAAAGCAATTAATCGTCGAATCCCGTGAAAATATGCGCAAATATCAGAAGTGGGGGGGGAAGACAAAAACCTAGAAAATATGGGGAAAGATAGGGAATCCTTTCATTTGTGTCTATATCTGTGTGTTCCAGGGCCCCTTCAGAATCTCGAACGTCTGCCTTCCGTGGACTCCTCGCTGCCTGGCCTGCGCAGGCCCCGTGGCGCCTCGGCGACCCGCACCGCCGCGGCGCGGCGCGCGCCGCGGCAGCCCGGGGCGCGGGCGCGCAGCAGCCCCTGGAGGGCGGGCCGAACGAAAGGAGGGGGATAGGGAAAGGGGAGGAGGAGGAGGAGGAGGAGGAGGAGGAGGAGGAGGAGGAGGAGGAGGAGGAGGAGGAGGAGGAGGAGGGAGGAGGAGGAGGAGGAGGAGGAGGAGGAGGAGGAGGAGGAGGGAGGAGGAGGAGGAGGAGGAGGAGGAGGAGGAGGAGGAGGAGGAGGAGGAGGAGGAAGGGTTACGAAATCTGCTGCATGCAGCTGGTTTCGGCCCCGCCGCCAGGCCCATTCCTCGATACACGGGCGCTTCCCGGCGCCGGGAGGCGCCGGGAAAATCAGCTACGTGAGCTGATTCTCAAACACCCCCTTTGCTATCCCCCCCTTTCGCCTGGCCCGACTGGAGGGCGGGTCGCTCGGCGGGGCGGCGCCGGCGGCGGGCTCTCCCGCCAGGCTGCAGGCGTACGACCCGGCCGTGTGGGCGGAGTACTGAGCTCAGAGGACCGCATCGGCGAGGTGTACCCCGACCCCCTCGCGCTGCGAAAGGAACACGGCGGGAGGTTTTTCGCTATTTTCGGCCTCCGGGGGCCCTCACTGGGCCTCGGGACCGTCAGAAAACGATTCAGGATGAAAAACCGGTCCCCGGAAAGAGGTCCAGATTTCTCAGGGTCACGTCATGAAAAAATCACGACGTCGGGGGTCTGGGTCCCTGGCGTTGCAATGTTTTGTGACAGCGGGCGTGTTCGCCCAGTTTCGGGCCCCCATGACCCTCACAGAGCGATGCGGCTCGAAAAATGGCGCAGAAAGATGGGGTCATGGGCAACAGTCGCGATTTTTCGCGATGCTGCAGTTTTGTTGCAACGTCGGATCTCCGGGTATTTGGGCAGATGGGGTCCGAGCAGATGGGGTCGGAGGATCGCGCCGCATCGCCGATGTATTGGCGATGCGGCTCGATGTGGAGCCTGATTTTCTCCACGCCGACCCCGCCGATGCATCACCCACGTCTACGATGCATCGCCGGTGCACCGCCGATGCATCGCCAATGCATCGCCAATGTATCGGCGATGAGGCGCGATCCTCCGATCCCATCAACTCCGACCCCATGTAGGAGGCAACGAATCGACTAGACGTAAGAGAAGCCTCTTGCCCGTTTGGCCTGTGGTGCAGGCCCAGTGGGGTACCCCGATCGCCGAGCGCGAGGCGGCAGCAGCGGCTTGCGCGCCCAGGTTTGGCCAACCCGCGTCCACCGTTCAGTCGCGCACCAAAGGTGAATTCTTGCCCATCTTTTCTAATGTGGAGATGCTTGTCCAAGGGGGGTTGTCCGAGGGTGCTGTCTGGATCTTGCGGGGTTGTACAAGGGGTTGTCCAGGCCGCGTTGTCTTGACAGCACGTGCAAGGCATGCATCTTGGAGGGGTTGTCCAGGGTTTCAATGGGGTTGTTCGGGGATTTTCTTGGATCCGACTTTTCTTTCATAAAACATTATAGGCTCGTTCTTTCGTGCAGCCGACCGAAGACGAGAGCACGGCGTGTAAGTAGAAATGCTCGACGGTCTCCGCGGGTATCTTTTGGGTCTGAGCTGGACACCCCCTGGCAGCGCTCCGCGCGCCGGGGAGGAGGGCCCAGCGCAGCTCCAAGAAATCCACGCGGGGCTCCGACGGTTTATGTTTATGCCGTCTTCTGCTTCTCCATTAACCAGACCCCCTGGCGTTGTGCACGAATCGTGGCGGGAGGTTTCTCGCTATTTTCGGCCTCCGGAGGCCCTCGCCGGGCCTTGGGAACGTCAACGGACGACTCAGGATGAAGAACCGGTCCCTGGGAATGGGTCGAGACCATTGGGGGTCGACGTTACGTATGAGCAAGTCATGACGTCGGGGGTCTAGGTAGGAGGGCGAGTCCAGGCCACGGCACCTGGCCTTCGGGGGGGGTGGGGGGGCCCTCGTCGCCACGGCTGGACGCAGCTCGGGACACTTGGGCGCGTGGGCCCCCGGGAAGGGTCCGGGGACCGGCGTGGAGCTGCCTTCGGCTCCGCTCGCCCTCCTCCGAGGAGCGCCGAGGAAGCGGTGCCGCCGCGAAATGCGAGGACGGTGGCGCACCGGAGCGCGCGGTGCCCGCCTGCCGGGCTGCAGGCGTGCCACCCGGTCGTGTCGGCGGAGCACTGAACGGGCCGCTGCGGCGTCGGAAGCGGACGGGGCGCGAAAAAACACACCAGGCAGGGTAATGAAGATCTCGGGTTCTTTTGGGGGGGTCTCCTGGGGCTCTCTTCGGGCGTCTTGGGGGCCTCTTGGGCCGCCCTGGGGCCATCGTGGGCGTCTTGAAGCGCTCTCGGGCCAGCTCGGGAGCCTTTTGGGCTGTTGCGAGTCACTCTTGGAGCATTGTTGGTCCGTCTTGGGGCCCTCTGGTTTGGGGGGTATTCATGCGGGAAGCCCGACGCATCCTGCGTGAACCCCCAAAAGTCAGACGAATGACCACAAGCAGCCCCCAGATTTGGGGCTCAAGGCCCTTTTAACGGAATTCCAATCTTCAGAGTTGAGGGCCCCAGAAATCGTAAGGATACTGCACTTCATGCCCAGCGGCATGGTGGCGGATTAGAGCTTTAGGCAGGTAGATTCGGCTTCCAGTGAATCGATTGTCAGCTCCATTAAGTAGGGTTATAGGCCCCCTAGCAGCGGCGCAGGCAGCTCGATTACAATCCTATCAGAGCTTACAGCTCTGATAAGGTGCGAGCAGCGCTGAGAGCAGCTGATACAGAATTCAAGTAAGTACAGCTGCTGGCACCTCGCATATAGTCCGACGATATCAGTCAGCTGGTCTAGTCGAAGCCTAGTGAACTTACAAGAAGCTCTGCTGGAGTCCTAGCAGTGCTGCGCGCAGCGGAACTAGAAACCTGGTAAGTACAACTGCTGGGACCTGGGACAACTTCTCACTGCATGCGCATACGAACTAATCATAATCCTCGTTGGGCCGCATGCAGAACTAGCAGGACACCATGAATAGGTAGATGCCTCTATTAGGATCTAACCATAGCGTTTGGCATATCCTGGTATAAGTTTGCAAAGCCGAACCCAGTGTTAGTAGGATCCTCATGGGGCTGTCAGGTATATTCGGGTTCTAGACCTCCCAGTAGCGGTGCGGGTAGCTCGATTCGATTCTTAGCAGGGCTAGCTGCTCGGATAGGGTCTCGGTATCGCTGCAAGCAGATGAAATCGGGCAAATACTGATGACGGGACCGCTTAACATCATCAGATGAGATATGTCGGCTGATCTAGTTGAGTTCGAAGCTGCAAGCATGTCCGCTGGACTCCTGCCACTGTCGCGCGCAGCTGAAATAGAAATTGTGTACATTCAGCTGCTGGCACTTCTGGTAACATATGATTTTATGTGCAGACAGGCCACTCTAATTCGCGTGATCGTATGTGCAGACAGGCCATTCGTAATTCGCGTGCGGCTGTTGACGACTCCCATAGGTCTTCATGGAGACGTAGGCATCTACCAGACCGGTAAGCATATCTAGTACAAGTGTTCAAAGCCGTGCGCAGTGTTAGACGGACCACAATTCGGCTGTAGGCAGCCCGAACAGAGCTCGAATTAGAACCGCAGGCATCTCCAATCCAACAAGATCATAGATGGCGGCGTTTCAACGGGGTCCTCGCAAACCTGTAGGCAGCCCTTGAGTAAGGACAGTAAAGATGCATATCAGAAGCCCGTTCAAGGCACTTGCCATCAGAGAATGATTGCATGAGTTCTGTAGGCAGCTCTAATCGAGCCCCTTGGTATGTTGCCATTGCTGTGCTTCCGGGGAGGAAAGGAGGAAGCGGGAAGAGTAATCAAGATGAGCATCAAGAAATCTACGATGAGGACACATGGGCTGGGAAAAGGGGAGGGGTGGCACACACACACACACACACGCAAGCATACCGCCCTTTTGTTTTCGTTTCCCCTCTGCCGCAATATCCTTCTCGTTGTCCTCCTTTCTTTCTCTCTCTCTTTCTCTCTCTCTCTCTCTCTCTTCCCGCTTAACCTCCCGCCTTTGTATTATGAGGATGCGGAGCCTCTGGCAATAAAGGGTGGCGAGAACAGCAGTGCATCCAAAGTAATGGTAGCTCCACAACACAGTACCGAACAGGAACATAATGATAGTGCGACTCCTATACGTATTTATACGACTAGTACGTGATTTGATTTCAGAAGCAACGTTAGCTCCCCGTGACAGGCTGACGCACATAGGAGAGGGCAGCAGTGCATGAATATTGGCTGCAACTGGCGCGTTCTAGAATTACCTATGAAGTATCAACCCCAACAACAAACAGCTCGCGACAGACTTCTTACAACTGAAATAGTGAGGTGGTTTCTCACGGGGATCCAGCATAGTTTCTGAGAGTAGTTGTTTTCGCTGGTGGGGTATAGGGCTGTCACAATGCTGTGCGCCTTTGCAGTCAACCAGCAGAGTGAGGACCAGCGACTTTCCAAGGTTACCCTTGCATCCTTCCCTTTCGGCTCATCCTTGGCCGCTTCAGCTGGCAGCGCCTGCTCGCAAAGTGTCGACATGGCCCTCCAAGCCCTTGCGCCCTTGCTGCGCATCTATAGTTTGCGGGTTGACTGCGCTTTGCAAGTGTAATCGGCACCACGTGAAATGCCGTGCTGCCCCTGTTGATTTTGTGTTCCTCTCTGTGCCGATTGTGTTTCTTTGAAGTACGAGGCAATCACCAAGTATATGTTAAGCACCTGTTCCTAATTAGAGGAGATGATAGGCAGGGAGATGGATAGAGAGAGAGAGAGAGAGAACACAGCTGTATATATATATATATGTGTGTGTGTAGATGTCTATACTCATGTGTATGAACACATACATATATACATATAATTATCGAGTGCGTGTGAGAGAGAGGGGGAGGGAGAGTGAGAGAGAGAGATACACACATTGACAGACAGACAGGCA